ATTCTCACATTTTGATTGGTTGTCACTTATGATCTATTGGAGAACAGATATGTAGATGATGTCAGTAACACTTTTTTGTTGCTGTTTCATAATTATATAAAACAGATAGATTCCATGTTGCCATGCATCTGTTCAGTGATACACAAAGGATATGTCAAAGTGTGGTAACATCAGTAACACACTCATTTTGATGTTTTCGCATCATCTGTGACCTATTACTGAACAGATGCACAACAACATGGAATCTATTTGTTAAATAAATACACAGCTGAACATTATGAAGCACAAATGCCCCAGATGTTGTGTTCCCAGTGCAATTACCATCCCACAAACATTTTCATCTTTTCATGCTATATTCTAAAGCAAATGGGTGGTGGTGTTCCAAGTTTTCCATGAAAATATTGCACTTTAAGCTCTAGAGAAACTGCTGAAAGCACTCACATTCTGCTAGCAGTTTTACTAGACCACAAGTGTGCATTATTTAATTAGAGAGCATGGAACACCATCTTCTATTAATGTACATATCATGGATGACAAATTACTCCTTAATTTTGGCATGAAATTTCGGCATTTATAATTTTAAATGTGAAATTACAAAGTTGTCATGGCGACATTTAGTGCAAAAGTTCTTGATATAATAAACAAGTCAGGAACCCAGGATTGAGCATAATTTGCCCCTTATGATAATGAAAGGTAATGGTACACCCACCAAATTTCACTTGTGTTTAATTGACATTCTAATTGTCCCCCACATAAAGGTGCAGACATTTGTTAGAATTTTGCCAAAATGTGCAAAATTACTTTCTAATTCCATTCATTACTACTTGATTACCCGTTATACTAAATGACATTTTAAGAAGAGAGTTCTACCATGTAGTAAAACTAGCCACAATAAGTGATATTTCTCAATTTTTTTCTTTTAATACACAAGTTACAGTGTTTCAAACCATTAGACTTGAAAAACTAAAATAAACTAAAATAAAAAAAAACTTACATCCTAAACAATTTGAAGAAAACCAATTAGAAAGCCACCCTCTCACCCAAGGTAAAGTGAACTTCGAACTTTAAGCTTAGAATATTCCTAGCATTAAAGCCTTGCAGTCCACTTCAATGGCTGAACCACTGCGTGTCCAGAAAATGATCTAATAGAATACCGTTTTTCTGATAAGATTTGAAACAAATTTAGTCTGTCTTTTTTGCAATCAGAATACCAATATCTCTTTTATACACAATAGTTTGAAATAATATGTTCTTGCAAGCTCACCAACCAAAAAAAATATACAAAAGAAAACTATGAAATCGTCAAAATCGAAAACTCAACACATGCTTTGAAAAGTTGTCTATAAAATCTATAATGTGATCATCCTTACCTATTTACAGTTATCTCTGAACATTTTTGGAATTGAGCAATAATTTATTCCACTTATATACAGACAAAAATCCAGTGAAATGGTACCACTGTATTTCAATATTCCAAGGTCTAATGGATGCTATACTGGAGAGCACTTTTTTGAGATTTTTGCAATGTTACACCATTTTCTGAATTATTGAAACAAGCTGAAACGATGATAACGCATATTATGTGAAACTATTTTCTGCACTGTAAATTTACACGTAACACACCTAAATATACAATTTTGTCATTTTCCCAAAATACACCCTTTGAGAAAGACTGACAAATTTAATAGAAGTGGAAGTTCTCAAAATAGAAACAAAACCAACTTCCATAACAATACAAAGATAAAAATTTTGCTGCCTCTTTATGCATTAACAATTTTAGCCTGCAATATCACTTCACTGAATTGGTTTTGTCATTATATTGCGATCCACCTTCCCTGCATTTTCCAGCACACTCATGTTATCTTCAGAATACATTAGTTTATACATCATGTCATGTAATTAACACATCCCAGTCAACTACACTGATAAGAGTAGTTCTACATTCTTGCTAAAGATTGAACCTACAAGTATACGTTAAATAACTATACTCTAAATTTGTTCTTCAAATGTTTGTAATTTATATTCGTAGCTAGGTAGCTGATTAAAATGTCCTACGCAACTGCTACAAGAGGCCTGCCTCGTCCGAAACCTGAGTGAAATCCTTTTGTTCCATCAGGTCCTTTCGGAAGTCGTTCAACACCTTCCAACTGAATCATGCGGTGACGTGGGCTGGTGGAATCGACCAGCGGGCTAGTGTGAGGGGAATGGCCGCTGTTTGGTGATCCAAACTTGCGGCGCTGCGACCATGGGCTATTTGGAGCACTGTTACTGCCCTCCTTCACTACAATGTTTGCCAGCTTCCTGGGCAATTCTGGGCTGCTCTGGGGTGACCGTCGACCTATGGGACGGGGGGTGCCAGTGGGGGAAGCAGCCCTGTCTGGAGTGTGGTTACCCCCATTGTTATACCGGCGTCGACAGGTACTGAATGATGAATAAGAGTTATCTGTATCTGAAGAACATGAGCTTGAAAAACTATCATCTGAGTTCTTGCCCATCAGTTCTTGTACACGCTTGTTCTTCTTTCTATTGCGTCGTTTCTTTGTGGAGTCATCGTGTTCTTCGTCAGAATCTCGCCCAGCATCGCTTCCCTTGTCTTTAGATTTCGTCTTGGATTTTGACTTCTCCTTTTTGGCGCCTTGCTTGCCAAGTTCCACGACTTTCATGCCTCCCTCCTTCGACATTTCACTGCAAGCACGGGCAGCGGCCGCCATGGTTTCGAAAGCCACAACTGCCGTTGTTTCTTTTTCAAGCTCCGGATGCTTGGTAAAGTAGGGCTTTAAATCGAGAGGGATTGCTTTCCCTGGGCGAATGATGCGAATTAATTCAATCTCCCCACATTTGGAGAAGATTTCGCTCACGCTTTCCATGGTAGCGTTTTCTAGATGAGTGACAACTACAGTTCTTCCCGGATTACGCTCGAGAAGTTCTGAAGGAAGCGGCACATTCCTTCTTACCTTCGTCTTTTCTGAATTCATCGAAAGTTCTTTCGATTTTTCCAAGGCTTCCGCAACTACTCTGTAATCCTTTGTTAGCGTCTTCACTTTTTTGAACGACGTTATAAGCTTCAAGTTGACATATCCCTCTCTGTTACGACGGACATGTTTCAGTAAGAAAGCATCTTTGGCGAGGTTATCATCGCCAAGGTAAAACTCGACTTGGGAGACAATTTTCTCAGCCAGTTCCTCACTGGGAGGTTGAAAAGGTCCAGCACCATCTTTAACGTCATTGTCAGAGTGGGAATCGATGGGAGAGTGGTGATATTTGCGATCGACTTCATCTTCCGAATGAGATGAACCCGCAACGTCATGATCAGAACAAGCAGTGAAAACCTCTCCATTTAACAATAACTTCGGCGAAGAATCAACTTTCTCGGCAACTCCCTGTAAAGACTCTTCTCTCTGATCGTCAGCCATCTTAACGGATAGAGGAAAAAGGCAGATGGCCCGTCAGATGAATCTTTCAAACGCCTCGCAATCTCGCACGAAACTAGTGATTGATAATTAGTTTCGCCGCCATTTTTATAAGGTTCACGTGGCCCAAGTATGTTATGACGTAAGAACAAACTATTCTTTCACTTCCGGTCGTTCTTCAAGACCCCTTTCACCTTTTCTTACACGACAAATCATGCGGTTATTTTTACATCGCTATAAATATTTCGTTTTGACTCAGCCCTGAATAATGCAAAAGTACAGTATATTCCAAAATCCTGTCTGAATAAGAGGAAATATTGTCACAACAGAAGGACGTGACTTCCTTCACGCATTCGCTGGAACAGTCAAGTGGTATTACGAGACACACGTAGTGGCGTAGTGTGAAAGTTTACACGTTTCACAGAACACGTTGTTACTCTTTGTCAGTTTATATTTGAACTTTGTTTCACGATTGCGTTAGATGACAAAAAGTGAAAAGAAATGTACCTAAAATAGTACTAAAATTCTGGTGTTTTTGTCCTCTCTAGCTCATCAAAAAAACATCGGTCTAAAAATACTGTAATCAGAATATAAAATCGAGCTGACGCAAAGAGAAAACTCGCATTGATTGAATAAAAGACAACGCAACAGTGAAATTCAGATAAAGGATTAGCTTTGTAAACATTTTGTTGACCTTGGATGACGTAAAGTCTGTGAAATATTGCGTTATGCCAAAATAGCAGAGTAATATCATGTCCGTAAATTCAACGTTTAATATGTTGATTATTGCATGTTTTGACGGTCTGTTTCGCCGGGGTTTTCCCTGAAATTCGAAAACAACCGTTTGTAATGTTCCCGTTTTAGACAGGTTTGAGTATCAGCGATGCTATTCAAAGAATGTTTGTAACTCTTTTATTTTGCGTTGAAGGCGTCGCATATTGAGTTTATTTCTCTCAGGTTTTATAATATATATACATATATTTTTTTTTGACAATATCTTTACACCTTAAGTAGATAGCTAACCGAGCCATATGATAACTACAGTGCATTAAACTAGAGCGAGTTAGACTCAAACAAGGGTGTATTAGTTTGTATCAAAAAAATTCAGAGTTGATGAAATAAATAAATAACGGGGCACCAGCTGTGAGGAACTAAAATTTGAAACTGTTTTTCCCATTTCCCCGTAAAAGATTGCGTGTTCTACTGTTTAATTTATATTCGTCGACCTTTTGTTTATCACCTAAATCCCACTCTAAAACGATTATTTCAAATATTGCGATGCCAGTGAAATAAGAAAATTTTAATTCATGTCGGGCTTGCCTTGTCCCGAATTGACCCGCGAGTGCGGGAAGGCCAGTCGTCAGAGTCGTCCCGTTTTTGCCACAAAACACCGACGGCGTCAACGTTTTGGCCACAGAACGCCGACTGCGGAACACGAGCTGACTGATGAATGATTTGTGCTATCTTATCTGTAACGATTATCAATGACTTTTTTTTTCTCATTACAGTACTCGCACGCCTCCAAGCCCTACAGAACGGGTTCTCGTATTTTGTGTATTGGCCGATCACGTCCAAAGGTTTTTCTTCGGGCAGTTCGTTAAACATGCGCTTTTAAATTTTGTTATCTTTCTCCAGAAAAATAAAAAAAAAAGAACAGATAAGAGCCAGAAATGAGCGTGGGACGTTAAGTAAAGAACACGGACTAAGTACTATAAAAAGTGGCTTCAGCCCCACAGGAAATCTTAGGCAATAGGCAGTTCCGTTAGTGGAAAAGGAAGAATAAGCTTTTAGCCTTTCCTTTAAGCGATCTGGTTAGGGTAGACACTGGCCACTGAAGGGGAAATCATGACCTCATGTTGAAAACACGTACGGAGTATTTTAAATGAAAGACTTCCCGTTAAAATGTAATTCTAAGCTTTTCCGTTAAAACGCATAATGTTTAAAATATGTTTTGAAACGCACCGCTGATTGTATTTCAGTTCTGGTGGTCAAGTGAAATCTTCAAGTCTCTCGATTCTCAGTTATTTCTTTAGATTCCTAGCCAAAAAAGGAATATACCGTTCTTCTGAAATAGCATATATAACAGATTTCATTGTTA